GGTACAATAGATCTGCATACAATACTTTTTCAAAGTATTAAGACACTACAAGACCAACCTATTACTACAAATTCAAAATTTTAAATCACCATGTTGGAATAATAAAATTATTTTATCTTTTGTAAAAAAATTTTTAATAATCAACTAATCCTTTTGAAATTTACGTACTACAATTCCAAGTAGACAGGAGTGTTAGATTAAATGTTTTATGCAATCATTTTTTTCACCATAAATAACTTCTTACTGAGAGCAATCAAAGCACATCCTGCAAACCATCTGACCTCAGGACCCTACAGTCTGTAAGACCAACCGTATTAGAATTATTACTAATTTATTACTTGTAGTATTAAACCTCCCCATGGATCATCACCTTGTAGTGGTGGAGAGGCTTGCATGTTCCAATGATGCCCAAGAACAATGCTGCCTGGAGTCATGTACTCCCTTAGGGTACGTGCTGATGACTGCTGGACTGACCATCACCTCATTCAATCCACAATGAAAATTAAGACCGCCCCCAAATGCAGGCTGCAAAGAAACAGATCAGGTGCAAAGTGAAGGTTCAAGAACTGAAAGACCCCATTAAGTGTGACCACTTCCAAGCAGTCATAGAAGAAATGCTTCCATCAGAGTTTCATGAAGAAACTGAGGAATATTGAAGCCAGCTGAAAGCAGCAATCATTAGTATCTGTGAGGAAACCACTGGCGACCACACCAGACAGCATCAAAACTGGTTTGATGAGAATGATGTTGAAATTGAGCAGCTCAACAATGAGAAGAAAATGGCATTTAGTGCATGGCAGAATGATATAAATTGAAGACAAAGACTACGGCAAAGGTGGAAGTCCAATGTAAAACCAGAGAAACTCAAGAACAAATGGTGGACTGAGAAAGAGCAAGAACTCCAACATTTTGTGGATACCCATAATACATGTGGTTTCTTTTGTGCTATTAAGGCTGTTTATGGGCCAGCTTGCCATGGCATGAGCCCCCTGTGCTCAAAGGATAGAACCATTGAGGCTGTTTATGGGCCAGCTTGCCATGGCATGAGCCCCCGCTGCTCAAAGGATAGAACCACACTTTTGAAGGACAATGAAGCCATTAATTTTCTCTGGAAAGAACATTTTGAAGATCTTCTTAATTGTAACTCCATGGTTGCAGATGAAGTTCTTGAACAAGTTCTGTGGGGAAGCAGAGCAACTGGGCTGGCCTGGAGATGGCAGCAGAGCAGAGCAGGCTGCTGCTTCACTCCGCTTCCCCACAACTCCTGCTGCTGTGGTGAGGCCCTGACCCCTGCTGCCAGCCCCAGCCCACCCAGGGCCCCACAGGCTAACCTGAGTATGGGGGACCATCCCATCCATAGGATGGTTGGGTGGCCACTGCAGGGCTCTTCAAGGAGCAGGGCCCAGGGCAGCTGGTCCAAACCATCATATGAATGGGATGATTCTGCACACACCACCCCGAGGCCACAGGGACATATTGGCAGCAGCGTTGAGCTAGCAGCAGGAAGTCGTTCTACTCTGCACCATCAGTGATAATAGTGCCCCCCCCCGGGGGGGAAGTTAACTGCCTGATGGTGGCAGATGGGGCAGGACACATGCAAGGAGGTGCACATGGGCTGGCAGTCAAGGCTGGGTGACATCTCCACCCCCGAGCCCTCTGACTCGCTAGGAGGATTTGAGAATTGGCACTGGCCCTAAAGTAAGTTTGAGACCACAGATCTAGACCCAGGCAAGAGGGCACGCTGTCTGTGTCTATCTATTCTGGCATTCCTATTGAATTCACACTGGCTCTTGGAGAACCCAGCACTTTGATAGAAGAGGCTTTTTAACGATTGGGGGAGGGTGTTTAAAATTCTTATCAGACACCAGATTATCAATGTCAAAAGGAGCTGTCGGCAGAATGATAGCCCCCTTCAATTTAAATACTAAGAAAAAAGAAATGCAGATACTGTTTCTAGGCACTTTAAGGTCCTAGAGTAGTCAGATGGGCTTCAAATTTCTGATTTGCTTCAAATATAGCAACATCATTGCAATCACAATAATTAAAACATTTAAAGAACCCTTTTCTCCTCCCCCTCTGTTCTCCAGTTGCTATATGCACCCTTTTATGGGCATATTTGTACAGAGGAGGAAGCTGTATTTAATGACTTGCAGGGCGACTAATGCCATAGTAATTTCTCTCTCTGAATTGTCTTCTGACACATAGATTGCTCAATTTTTTTCAGCCTGCTGGATAATTCTTGTTTATCTACTGAATTAAATATGTATATAGTTCATAATTTAGTATCTAAATTAGAGTAATACAGGATATTTAACAATGAATTGGTTTCTGTGACTGTTTTAAAGCACCATCATAATTTATTAGGAGTATAAAATATATTTGGATAATTGGTTTTAATGTATAGCAGGGGTGAGGAACCTAAGGCTTGTCTGGATCCAGGCCCCCGCACCAAGGCTCAGGGCTCACACTGGCACTCCAGCTTCCCCCCACCCACTCCTCTGTTTCCCTCGTGGGACTGGAGTACAAAATCTACTAGCTTGGGCCCAGCTGATTTTTTCTGTGGGTCAGCAGCCCCTGACCCAGTAAAGGTTCTCCAAGCCTGACATAAGGGAATCAGAATGATTTTTGCATATTTTGATCCTATTTGCCAGTTAAAGTCTTGCAAGATTTGCTTAAATGTAGCGGATCCTATAGTAAATGTAGCATTATTGGGTTTGGAGGAGGAGCATTGCTTTGTATTTAAATTGTGTTGTTAATTAAAATGCAGCTATCCGAACCCTTATGAAAATACTATAATATTTTGCAACCAAGTTCTAAATCACACCAGCTTGCAAAAGTCAGCAATACTCCTGCAACGTTTTGGGTTATTGCTTTAGAATATAGTTCATAATTTAGTATCTAATAGTACCTAATTAAGGGTGTGTCTAGACTACAGGGTTGTGTCGACAGCAGTGGCCTTTTGTTGACAAAACTATACCTGTGTCTACACTACTGCCAAGTTCTTTCGACATAACATTGACAGAACTCGGCAGTTTTGTCGACGGCGGTAAACCTAATTCTACAAGGAATAATGCCTTTTGTCAACAGGGTTATGCTGACAGAAGGCGTTATTGCATCTACACTGTCCTTTGAGTCTACACTCTCATGTCGACAAAGCGGCTTGCTTTGTCAACAGAACTGGATGGAGTCTAGACGCTCTTTGTCGACAAACGCTTTGTCGACAGTATCTGCAGACAAAGCCTCTGTCGACAAAAGCCTGTAGTCTAGACATACCTTAAGATAATATGTTTCACTACCAAAATGAAGTATAGGAATGTCCATTTATTTTGCATTAGATTTGCTGAGTTGAGACAGAGACAGACCAGGAACCATATTTTGACTCAGGCCCAACATACTGCCTGTTTCACCCCTTGCTCCATTTGGGGAAATTACACTGTGTCAATCCAGATTGTTTCTTCCACATGCTGGCTGGCACAGTTAAATTGGCATGGAGGGAATGGTGTGAAATCTCCACCCACTTCACCAATCTCTGTCAGATCAGGGAAAATCAGCCTTACAGAGTCTGCTATTCCCTTTGAAATCTCCACCCACTTCACCAATCTCAGCCTTACAGAGCCTGCTATTCCTTACAGAGTCTGCTATTCCCTTAGGTTATGTCTACACTGCATGCTTATTTCAAAATAACTCATGTTATTTCAAAATAACAGTGTGCGTGTCTACACAGCAAGCCAGTTATTTCGAAATAACAGGCTTCTTACTCTGACTTCTGTAACCCTCATTTCATGAGGTTTAAGGGAAGTCGACAGAAGAGTGGTCTTCCTTTGACTTCCTGCAGTGTAGACAGCACCAAAAACCGAATTAAGCTACTTTGACTTCAGCTACACTATTTATGTAGCTGAAGTTGCATATCTTAATTTGACTTTTGCCCTGCAGTGTAGACGTGCCCTGAAAGATCCTTATCTCACACAAAAGAGAAAGAAGGTGTCCTACTCCCATTTAGTCCTCTGAATTGGTGCATGCTACTAAAACTATGCTTTTTATTGCCTATAGATATCTCTCAAAATCACCAAGAAAGTTTTTACAGCTCTGATGTAATCCACCAACAGACTATCATGGCGAGAAAGTTCCCTATAATATACTGATCAGCGGGGTGGCCCATTCATATAGGCGAACTAGGCGGTCGCCTAGGGTGCCAAGTTAAATGGGGCGCAATGGGGCGCCAAATGGTGGCACAATATTGTTGAGTGGTTTGGAGGTGGGGGCACCGATTGCATGGTTTGCTTAGGGCGCCAGTTACTGGCAGCTAGTCTAGGGCCACTCCTGCTGATCGGAACAAAATTTACATCAATCTAGAATTTAACAGAGATTAAACTAGAAGTAAATAGCATACTCTCGGAGTTGCACAAATTGTACTCCAGCAGAGTATCCTTAAATGCCATGCACATCTTCACTGTAAGATTTCAATCATCTCCTCAGTGATCCTGATATCTACAATCCTAAAACTTTTGATATCTGACCTATGTTGCCCTTCTGTGCTTAGTTTAGAGGACTTTGAAGAGACAGTTGTATGCAATCAAATGACTGAGACCAGCCCACCGAAAAGTTTCCCAGCAGTCCAAAGTATCACAGGGAACACATGTTCTTTATCTGTAAGATACATTGAAGCATTTCTCACAATGTTTGGAATAAAAATCTATAATCGTGTTTTTGTTGTAAAACAACCATCTTGTGGAAAGCTACAAGCAAAACTGTTTTCAACCAAAGAAGCTTTAAATTAGAAAAATACCTTTAAAAAAAGAGCATGTAACTTCTCTTAGCATATCAGATCAGAAAAATGAAGTAGTACACCAGCAGTAAACACTCTTGCAGAAGAAACAATTGTAAGTGTGATGGAGTTGACACAGGGAACTGAACGAGGGACATCCAGAGCTAAAACAAGCTTGAGCTAAATAGAAAAGGCTTTGTAGTTGGCTGCAGTAACAAGTCAACTATTCTCTGTGTATTAGCACAAGATTTATTTATTCATGCCAGTGGATTACACAAACAGACACATACTGTCATTTTGACTATTTGTTCTTAAAGATGCTGTTTGCCACACGAATTAAATAGATTTGGTTGTGCCCACTGATTGGTTCACAAACTTTTGTAATAGGAAAATAAATGTCAAACTACTCATCTGAATTTTCAGCTAATTATTTGGTCTAAAATTCATGGAACTTTGGGGGTTCCCTAATGTCTTCATAAATAAACTGTCATTTGTCAATGTAGTCAAACAACAAATCATATGACGACAGGAATAGCAGCTTAGCAAATCACTTTTAGTATTATTTGAACAGTTCTAAACTAGAGACTTCCAAGTCAACCTTGCCTAAGTGCTCTCAAGTCTCTTAGCTTTGACAGTCTGCTTCCCCATCTCCTTCAACATGAGTATTGGTTTTTATAGTTTATTTTAGGAGACACTTAGACCTTAATTTTTAGTCATGACCAAGGATTATGAGTTTTGAGGTGTCTGACTTGACATTCCAGAGAGGGACTTGCTTTTCAGAGGGCAAAGACTCGGCATTTTCTGAAAATTAGATCCCTTTAAGGTATCTCAACATGGGCACCTAAAAATCTTAGAAACTCAAAATCACAAGTTGCTTTGGAAAACATAAGAAAATGTGCATTTTGGAAATGAATTAAATATACATATTATTGTCATCGTTGTGGGTCTGGAATCAATAATGTCTGTAGTAAAATATCTGAAGCCCAACCTGCTTTTACCTAAAATAACTGGGACCATTACTACCCCTAAGGAAAATACTGGAACATTGGGAATTTTGTCAATAGCTTACCAGAAATAAAGGATAGTATTTTGACTTTAAATTAATCCATCTGTAATATAACTAACTGGCTGCAAAGGGATTTATGGATATTCCATTCCTTTCAAAAATCAGGCCACTAGATGACTTGTCTGTAACTTTACTGTGATTGAACATGTTAATATTTCTCCATTTCTCTGTGACATTCTGTAGTAACTAGTTTAATCAGCCCATGTCTATCCTACAAAAAGTGGGTATGTAAAACTATCCCAACAACTCAAGGGTAGATCCATGTTATATCAGCAAAAAAGTCAAAGAACTTTTTTGCTGGTACAGCTACATCTACACGAAGGCTTTGCTAATATATAAATGCCTTTTTTTTTAAAGTATCTCTCATCGACATTACTTATTACTAGCAGTTTCTAGTGTTACCACTGGAACTGTTTATGCCTGTGTGGCTTTGTTAGAACCCAACAGAAATTATCAGCCCCAACAATTAAAAGATCATAAAGGTTAAGAGATGAAAATGACTGAGTACATCCCTGCAAGTGAGAGACACTGAAAAAAACCCTAAGATCCTGGTCCACATGGTAGGTCCTTAATGCAAGAGCAGGGATTCTCAAACTTCATTTCATTGTGACCCCTTTCTGACAATAAAAGTTGCTACAAGACTCCACCAAGCCAATGTTCCCTCTAAGCTGCGCCGCAGCACAGCTTCACAGGTGATTAATCAGCCCTGCCCAGTCAGTCAGTTCTGTGCACAGAGCCCTGAGCCTCTGACTGGGCAGGGTTGATTAATCACCTGTGAAGGGAACACTGGTGCCAGCCCTGGCAACCCCACTAAAACAGGATCATGATCCACTTTGGGGTTCCAACCAAAAGTTTGAGATCTGCTGCATAAGAGAATCCCACTGACTCCATTTGCAGGATCAAGGCCAAAACTTGTCATATAATAGAGAGAAATCTGGATGTTATATGATAGAGGAAAAATTATTGCCATTAAAGAGTATACAATTAACAAAATATAGCCACCAGTACAGATACTCAAAATATTAATATCTATTATTAGGTGGAATCCATGGTGATTTCAAAATTGCTATTTCCCGTTTCAAAAACATTGGCTCTTTCAATGTTACGACATTTCTCCTACATAGGTTTCAAAACCTAACACTTAAACAAAATGAACAATTGCTTTGCCACCTTTTGACACGCTTGAATCAAGTGGACATCAAACTATGTTCAAGGACTAGATACACAAGAGAGCCTCTCAAAGGCAATTTAGCAGTATATGAACTGTTTTTCTTCTCAAGTACAGAAAGTTTTAAATGACAATATTATAAAACTTTTCCATGTCTTCATCCTGATGGTGAAGAATCCTGCTCAAGTCTCAGTACAAAATATGCAATTGATTACTGAACCGATGGTATGGAGGACAGTTGATTCAAACAGAACATGGATGAAGTGCAATTGACCAAAAAAAAATTGTTCTGGGTAGACACAGCATCTAGTTTAAAGGTATGAAACTGTTAAGCTCTCCATTTCAGAAAAGCAGAGGCAACCATAGAACAGAGGAAAATGTTTCTATGCCCTTCTTGAATTTTCTGCTGAATAAAAATATATATTTCAGAGAGTCTTTGCAGCAACTGAGTATCCTTCATGTTTAATTTTATATAAATGTGTAAGCTAAACTTTTGTAAGTGATTTTTAAATGAATTAATGTTCAGCTTGCTTCTTTTCCTTCCTTATTCTTTTGTTCTTTCCCAAATGCTTAGCTGATTCTTCCTGAAAGAAAAAAAAAAATCACACAAATATTATTTGGTTATCTCTTCCCTTCTAGTAAAGGCTATCCTGCCTGTACACTAACTTTTTTTGAGGTCACTCATTCACTCCATTTAATAGTGTAATCTGTTTAAAATATTTATAGTTCAGAAATTTTGTTTATTCAGACCTGTACAGTATTTAACAAGCTACCTTTCTTATTTAGTACATTTTTGTCTTGAGCATTCTAAAACCTTTATGTTCATACTTACAGACGTAATTATTATTTTCCTGCCTCTGACCTTGCTTACAGATGTTAACTTGGGGTGGGCAATAATATTTTATGGGGGGCCACTCCCAAGATTTTGGTAAATGGTCAAGGGCTAAACTGTCAGTTCTGGAAGGTTTCTTTCCCCCCACCTGGTAAAACTAGTAAGTTGCTGTGAGTTTTTACACTTTCCACATGGCATCCAGGAGGTCTGTTTGTGGGAGATTTAAAACAACTGTTATAACGTTAGTGCAATCTGGTTTGCTTATTGGATTAGGAAGAGTACATTTAAAGGCCTTAAACTCAGCAGGGTGCCTGGACATTAGTACAGAGTACTTTCATGGATTAGTGAGGGGGTATGCCTCTACATCTCATGGAACATGTGGTTCCCTTCAACTCCTGTCTCTTACCTCTAACATGGAGAAATGTAGGGAGTCAGGATTTTAGCTACCAGCCTGGGCTGCCTAGTAGACATGCGGGTGGCCTTCATTCTCCTCTGAGGTTTGTAGCACATTGGGGGTGTAGTATGGGGGGGGGCATATCCTAGTATGGTATTACACTAGTGATTAAAAATATGTCCTCCACATTTAACCACATAGTACCTGCATCTCACTCTATCCCTATCCAAATCAAGAGCCAGTGTTTATAATCTTACCACAATACAATATTCATTTATCTGGTATGAGCAAGTACTATAGTTTACACAATTTATTACATGAGAATTATTATCTGAATTTTACATATTGGGAAACAAAATCCAAAAAAATGTAAGAGACTTTCTTATGGTGACACACAGAGTCTGCAGTAGGATCAGAACTCAGATCACCAAACTGCAAATTATATATTTTAACCACAAGCCCAACTTTACTCTCTGCCTCAAGGACCTTCTAGGAGTAATGCCCAAATTGGAATTTTACTCTGGAACGCTACTTTAAACCATATAAATTTGATTGCTGGGATCCTGTGCTAAACAGAAGTGTGAGCAGTTAAGGGAAGACACAGGAGAGGAAATATAGATTCACTCTGGACTTTATAAAACTATAAAAGTGTTTAATTCAAGCACTGTATAAGTGTATTACAGTAAATATTTTCAAAACCAGATATGTAATGTAGGAGGCTAACTCCCATTCAAAGTCAATCCACTTGAGTGTTTTTTTAATTACTCTCATTCTTTTCTTTGTTTTTGCTTTCCACTCTTCTAATCTAGTTTAAAAAGGAGAAGGTTTGGTGATTTACAGTTTATAAACTGTTTCCATATTTTCTGTACATATACATTTTTTCTAAGAGCTGCTTTCTCTTTGATAAAGCATCTAAGGTGTTGAATAATACAATCAGTGAAGAGTGAATTGTGTCATTTCTAAAAAACATCTCACTGTAGTTAAATACACTTTGTGAATCACAGGTTATCACAACAAATGAAGTGTTTAAAAAAATATGAATATCAGATAAAATCCTGACCTCTTTGATGTTAATGTCAAAGCTTCCACTAATTTCAACAGAACGGCTGTGTCTATACTAGCCGCCTATTACGAAATAGGCATGCTAATGTAGAACTTTGGAAAAGGCAAATGCGCGGGGGATTTAACTATCCCCCGCGGCATTTGCATTTTCATGGCCACCGCTTTTTTCCGGCTTGGAGATAAGCCGGAGAAAAGCGTCCAGACTGGCGCAATCCTCCGGAATAAAGCCCTGTAGGAATAAGAGATCCTCCGGAATAGGGCTTTATTCCGGAGGATCGCGCCAGTCTGGACGCTTTTCTCCGGCTTATCTCCAAGCCGGAAAAAAGCGGTGGCCATGAAAATGAAAATGCCGCGGGGGATATTTAAATCCCCCGCGGATTTGCCTCTTCCAAAGTGCTACATTTGCATGCCTATTTCGTAATAGGGGCCAATGTAGACGTAGCCAACTAGAATTTGGCTTCCCTCGATCTGTGGGTCATTTGAGGATATGTCCCATGATGGTATCTTTCATGAAATTGGTTATCGAGCACATACTCTAACTTAGGGATCTCTAATGCAGTAGACTTGAGCCATATAAGGCAGTCAGATATTTACAAATTAATTTTATTATTACTTTTACATTTAACAAGCAATAAAACCAAAACTATACAACACAAGGGAAAATTCCAAAGAAATAAGAAAACGAAGAGGAGTCTATGGGATCTTAATAAGGAAAAAAGTTGTTAAGGAATCTTTTTCATTGAGCTCTCAGGAAAATTTAGCATAAGCATTCAAAATGTACCACAAGACAGATCCTTTGCTGGAATAAATTATCATAGCTTCATTCACTCCTTAGAATCTTAAAACTGGAGAGGACCTCAAGAGGTCATCTAGTGCAAGTCTCCTGCATTCATGGCAGGACTAAGTATTATTTTAGACCATTACTGACAGGTGTTTGTCTAAGCTGCTCTTAAAATCTCCAATGATGGAGAGTTCACAATCTCCCTAGGCAATTTATTCCAGTGCTTTACCACTGACAGTTAGGAAGTTTTTCCTAATGTCAAACCTAAACCTCCCTTGCTGCAATTTAAGCTCACAGCTTCTCTTATACTCAGAGGTTAAGGAGAACAATTTTCTCCCTCCTCCTTGTAACAATCTTTTATATACTTGAAAACGGTTATCTCCTCTCGGTCTTCTCTTTTCCAGACTAAATAATCCCAGTTTTTTCCTTCTTCCCTCATAAGTCCTGTTTTCTAGATGTCTAATAATTTTGGATGCTCTTATCTTCTTCAGTTGAGTTATGACAATTTACACAAATTGTGTATGTTCAGATATTGACATTGTCAATCTATCAGTAATAACTTACAGCTGAATTTATGTAATTGTATTCCACCAATATACTTCTGGCACAATTGTTGATGTGTTTAAAGCGATCTGGTCCCAGCAGGATCCCTCCATACCAGCGGGATACCACAACTAAAACATTACGCACATTCAAAATCTGTTTGGGGAAAAAAACATTATTTTAAATAGATAAACACATAAGTTAAGAGTGAAACTTGTTTCTTTTGTACAATGGACAATTTTTCCCCAAAGGAACTTGCAATCAGATTGCTACCATTCAGTTGCAAATTAGTTTGGAGTAGGGAAGTCTACCAGGGCACCACTTACGCAAATATGCAGGGCAATAAATCACATTTTGCTGCATAGGACTGTGACTCTGGGAAATGAGGATGACATAGTGACTGGCTTTGCTGATAGGGGCTTTCCAAACTGTGGCGGGCAATTGATGGGACACACATTCCCATTATAGCACCACCCATCTTGCCTCAGAGTACATCATTTGTAAAGGGTACTTCTCCATGGTCCTTGTGAATCACCGTGGGTGTTTCAGACATAAATGTGACATGGTCTAGAAAGGTGCATGATGCATGCATCTTTAGGAACAGTGGTGTGTACAGAAAGCTGCATGCTGGCACTTTCTTTCCAGACCAGAAAATTACAGTGGGGGACATGGAAATGCCCATAGTTATCCTAGGTGACGCAGCCTATTCTTTACAGCCCTGGGTCATGAAGCTTTACACGGGGCACCTGGACATCAGTAAGGAGTGGTTCAACAACAGGCTAAGCTGATGTCACATGGTTGTTGAATGTACCTTTGGCAGACTGAAAAGCAAGATAGTGGTGTTTCTATGACCGGCTGGACCTTTTGAAGCATCATATCCCCAAACTAGTGGCCGCATGCTGTTGCTTACATAATTTATGTGACAATAAGGGTGAGAGTAAGAGTTTGCCTGTCCATGGAATAATGAAACATGGTGCCTGGACACACAGTTTGAATAGCTAGACACTTGTGCTGTCAGAGGAGCCTATAGGGTGGCCATAAATATCTGAGGAACCACTTTGACATGAGGGGCACTGACTTTTCTGTGTGTTGGGATTGCTTCCCTGCCTCATTCATCCCACTGGTCATCCTGAGGAGGTATTTCCAAGAAACCAAGAGAGTGCAGGCTTCCACAGGGGCCAGAGCAATTGGTGTGGATTGTGCCACACAAAATAAACTCATGGAAATCCGCATCACATTTGTCTTTATTGATGTCTTATGGTAAGGGATGATAAGGATTATTGGAAAACCTCATAATAATGTTAACATCCAGCTATCAAACTCACTGCTTTCACAGGCAGTGGAGTGTGCTGAGAAGAAACCATTACTGGATTGTGAAAATGAGCGTGTGGATGTAGAGGGAGGGTTGCTGGATAAAGATGTTCTGCACGTGCGGCCATGGAGGCTGATGTCTGGGCGCAGAGGGATGGTTGCTGTGAAAAGAGTTCTGCATGTGCTGACAGGGAGACCCTTGGTTCTGGTCACTCTGAATCTTGATAAGACACTTCAGCATCTCATTTTGGTCTTCCATGAGCTTCTACATGCACTCAGTGACTTCTGTTCTGACTTCCATCTCTCTAGCTCTTCTTTGCTCCCCTTTCTCTGTTTGAAGTGTTGAATGCTGCAACACATCCTTGACCAGATCCTCCCTCATTCTCCGAGTTTTTTTTCTTAGTTGACAGAGTGTGTCTGCTGGTGGACATGCCTGACTTCTCAAAACCTGGTCTGGAAAAGTAACCATTAACAATATAGTAACTCTACTTTTTATAAAAGCGACGAGGAGTCCTGTGGCACCTTATAGACTAACTGAAGTGTAGGAGCATAAGCTTTCGTGGGCAAAGACCCACTTCGTCAGATGCATGTAGTGGAAATTTCCAGAGGCAGGAATAAATATGCAGGCCAGGATCAGGCTGGAGATGACCAGGTGGATCCAATCAAGGAGGATGAGCTTCTCAAAACCTGGTCTGGAAAAGTAACCATTAACAATATAGTAACTCTACTTTTTATAAAAGCGACGAGGAGTCCTGTGGCACCTTATAGACTAACTGAAGTGTAGGAGCATAAGCTTTCGTGGGCAAAGACCCACTTCGTCAGATGCATGTAGTGGAAATTTCCAGGCCTCTGGAAATTTCCACTACATGCATCTGACGAAGTGGGTCTTTGCCCACGAAAGCTTATGCTCCTACACTTCAGTTAGTCTATAAGGTGCCACAGGACTCCTCGTCGCTTTTGCAGATTCAGACTAACACGGCTACCCCTCTGATACTCTACTTTTTATGACAAAGATTGTAACATTTCACTAACATGCACGGCTCTGAGTAAAATGGCCCACTTTTCTCGTTACCCTAAAGGCAAACACAGATCTCTCCAGACACTCTGATCATGGTGAGTTTTAAGGGCGGGGGGGAGGGGAAGAGGAGGGCATAGGTCCCCAAAAAAGTACAAACCGTACTTGTACTGCAGGTGTACATGGAAACCCACTGTAATAATCTTACTCTTGTCCACAAGCTGTTCTTACTCTGGCTGACATATCCTTGCTAAAGGTAAACAGGCAAACCCAGACTCAGTTTCTGGATGCAAGTGGAGGGTACCTCCGCTCCTTATGCAGCCAAACAATGTGCTGCCTTGGCTCTGGCAGCACAAATTGAGGAATGGTTTGGGAGAATGTTGTATCATGGCAGTGGGGAAATGGCAGCCCTGCCAGGGAATCTCTGTGAGAAAATTAGTAAGCACATCTGGCAAAACTTTAACCTCACCTCCTAGCAAGATTCTATTGTTATCTGTGTGTACGTTAATGCTGATTGGACAGAACACAGAACCAGGCAGGGTTTAGTCAGCTCACAGAAATATAGCCTCTGGTCACCTATCCCAGTTGCAAGAGCAACTTCCTTTGCCACTGTCCACCTCACCCTGCTGCAATACATAGCAACTACTGCCCCATGCCACCCCAACCTCTCCTCACCCGGCTCGCTAGAGTAACTTACTGCCCTGCATAGCCACCGCCTCCTGCTCTGCTCCCCCCCAGCCTGCACAGCTACTTACCCTGCATCTCTTCCCTTGCTTCATGACTCTGTATCTCTTCCACATTCAGTTGCTGAAGAGTCCTCACAAACGTCAGGACTTGAGAACAATTCCTTGCTGCCTGGTGCATAGGTTTGTCACTGGATTAACCCTCAACTCCTGGTCTGTTTCACTCTCTTCATCAATAACTTCTGCCTGCAGGCTAATTGTTTCTGACTCTGTACTATAGGAAATATCCACATTCTCCTTGGGTGTAGTCGTGGGATCCTCATCCAGGACTGGGCCCAATTCTTTATAAAACCAGCATATTGTGGGTGCAGCACCAGACTGGCTGTCTGATAGGAAGCAACAAACCGGGGGGGTGAGAGCAAATGGGTCTGCGGAGCTGGCAGGCATGGAGAGCAGGCTGAAAAGACGGCTCCAAGTGCGATTGGCTCCTGCCTGCCCCCTTACCCTCTTCATTGCTGTCTTTCTATAAGAGGCAACAGCACAGAGTTGGGGGAACTCTTGTACATTTCAAAGGAGGAATGTGGAACTCCACGTGCAGCCCGAAGTCTCACTGACTCCGGGCTCCATGAGGGCACTTTTGTGCACTTCAAAATGGAAGCACCTGCATGGAGCCTGCATCAAGATGTGGTAGAATAGAGATTAGTTAGATAGCAAATAATACAAGAATCCGAAAAATATTGTAACCCTGCAAATGAAGATTAAAATCAGAGAAACAGCAGAAGTGGGTTAACCTAATGAATTTCCCAATGTATATTATCAGTCATAAGTGTGTAAGCAGGAAGTCAAGAAAACTCACTGAAGAGCTAACAAATAAACTTATGAACAGCAACTACTCAAGTGCTGTGGAATCCATCTTGTAAAATAGCTGCCATTTCATGTAGGTGAGAAGGTCACGTAGTTTGAAAGTGTGAGAAAGCGAAACATTTTATCATAAAAGAAAATGTAATCATGCTGAGAGTTTGCCCAGTAACAAGCATGCACAGAGTGATAGTTTGTTATGTAGCTCCTACTATAAGAGGAATTGTAAGTTGTATTCTAAGGTAGAACACACTTTGGTGGGTTCTCACTATGCTGCAGCATTTCTAAATAAACTATTCTCCATACCTTTTACTGAGTGTAAGGCTCGTTTCGACAATTCTCATACACTTATTTCCTCTGGGAACTATGTTTTCCTGATCCACGAAGAATAATTCTCTCAAATATCTAATTGATGTAGTGTTAAGCAAAGTGATGGTCATAAGAAGTACCTTACAAGCTGGTTTGCACTGTTCCTTTGGAAATAGCAGACCTGGTAATTCAATAATTGTTCAGTTGATAAGGGGATGGACACTGCAGGGAACGCTCTGAGAATTGGTGGTTGGTGCGTGCTGTAGTAAGATGAAGGCCTAAAACAAAAGCCCATGTAGCACAGGCCTGATTTGAGGCCTGAGGCCTAGCTAACAATGGACAAAACATGGCTAATATAAAGCAAAGCTAAGCAGTGAGCAAGAGGCAGGCCCCTGCTCACAGAACTTGGCACGAACAGGGATGAGAGTTCACAACACTAATTGGTAATAGGCCCAGGTGTAGAACAGTAATTGCTATTTGTTATAAGTTAAAAGCACATGGTAACACCAGCTCATTAAAAAAAGACTTTGATACCCACTTCCCACAGATACTGACCCAGGTTCAGGAAAGGGTCTAAAATGACAGCATGATGGACAGAGATGTTCTAAGCGAACCACGAGGAATAGGGCGATGGGTGGTATCTAAGTAGTATCAGAGGGTGGTAACCAGACGTCAGAGAGTGGCAACCTGACACATCAGCAGGGATGTGTAATTTGTTTGTACCTGTATATTAAGTGGTGTCTTGGGGGACAGTCTTTGTCCAGCTGGGAGGCAGTGGGAGTTTCCCACTGGTTGAGCTGAGGCCACTGTTGTAAGTATGTGTGTGTAGTTATTCAGTAGAGTCTAATGACAACTATTACTGTACTTCGCTTAACAAAAAACTTGGCCAGGCACCTTCAATCCATATCTAATTTGCGGTCTTTGGGGACTCTCTTGGGGTCGCCGGTGGTCATTGGGCCCACATCATCGAGCACACATGCAAGCAGCCTTCTGGTTGTCATCATCAACAGAGCTAGAAACCAGTCCGGATGCCACGGCAGTAAATCCTGACCCCTCCTGAATTTGAACATGTGCCTATCACTACCTAGAAGAACTTTTTTTTTTTAAGCCAGGTGATACATAGAAGATGGCTAAATCTACTGGGCCGTATACAGAGCAAGAATGAAAATCAGCTTAAGTACTTAAAGTTCTGAGCCTTATTTATGAGCTGCAATTTTTAAAACTATTTAAAGATAAAGTTTGTTTCCTTTAACCTGCATAAGATGAAGGAGGCGTCTACCTGCTGCTGTCTCCCCATCATCTTCACAATCCTGTAAGTACGTCTGTTTGTCCTCACAGTATATTCTGAAAACAAGCAACAGCATCAGGACCTAATCCAAAAGTATCAATCAATATTTTTAAAGATTTTCTGATATCTTCAAAAACTTTCATAAAGACTATGTAATCACAACTTTGTTTACCCAGGACACATGCCTGAAAACAGGATACCCTGTTTAAGAGCCAACCTGTAGAGACTGAATGTATAAGGTGGTTGGTAATAGAAAGCATAATTTTTTACTTTTTGGACACAAGCTCATATTACCCAGGTGAGCTGTCAGTTATTACCATTTGATGGCTGTTCTGACAGGACTAGAACTCTCACACATGGACAGAAATTCATCCAAAGGCTCAAACTAAACACAGAAATTCTCAATGGAGTTTTCAATTTATTTACAAGTTTTTTAATGTGACCAAAATAAAACTAAAATAATGTGACCAAAATAAAACTTCCATATGTAGCTCAATAGATTTTTTTTAAACACTTAAAAACAAACAAAAAAAAAGCAAAGTAGCTCTTATCTCTCCAGTAATCCCTGCCCTGGATCTCAGATGCACACTTCTAGAAACTGGAAGGAAGCCTTATATGCTTCTTACACATATATGTGGTGTTAGAGAGTGCATGGGTGTGTGTATTCATTTCTTTTCTCACTCCATTCCCACAGTACCATGTTTACTTATATTGCAATAATGCCTTGGGGCTTTCATCACAGATGGGAATCTTATATAGATACATACAAACAACAACAAAAGAATTCTATCTATTTTCCTTTATTTTCATTATGAATTAAACGGCTCTGCTGAAACAACTGTTTTCATCCAATAGTTTCCATAGGTGTATGACTAGATTTAGAAAGATCAATAACTTTCAAACCATAAGCAATCAATATATACACTTTTGACTTGCAGTTTTAGGTCACAATTGGGCTTTGACTCCCAATGCAGTCTTTTGTACGATCCTATAACACAATTTCGGATATATATTTTACATTTGTGATCTTCAGGGTTTCTCTGAATATTAATACTTTTAATGTATAGCTAGAGTCAAAGTTACTGAGGCTCAAAGAAAAATACAAAAATGGATTTCATTAGCAAAGAGTTTGTATGAGGGATTCTTTCTGAATAGCATTTCATTTCTCTCATACATTTCATCAGATTGTAAAAAAGTTTGCTGAAAATTCTTTACTCTTCACTAACCTGTATGCATATATGTTGTGGGTAGCGCTTGCTATTTTCTTATTCTGATATAACTTGGCAAGAACCATTTTCACCTTGAAAAAGAACAACAGGGTTTGTAAGCATCATTTGTAAAGGATTTGTATACAGATCTTGAATTATCTTAATGTATCAAAAGAAATTGGTGGGTTTTTTTTAAGGTAAAGTATCCAACAAAGAAGAAAAGAAAACCCTATCCCTTCATCTTCTCAATGTCCCGGATTCAAGCAGGTACTTATGCACATGCCTAACTTTAAGCACAAAAGTAACTCCAGTGGACCTATTCAGATGTTTATGTAATTTGTAAAATCAGGGCCCGAACACATTTCTAGAGCTCCCATCATACTAGAATTTAAGTGCTATACTGACTACAGCATACTCACTTGACATGCATGTGTAACTACTGAAAGCAACATGACAATTATACAATAATTTCTGTATCATCAAAGGTGTTTACTTCTGGGAAGAAGCATGAATTTGCTAAACTCTCTCTCTTTTGTGTTAATATGCAATGCATCTGTTGTTCACACTGTGAAAAACACTCGTATAACATGCGTGATGGTCTTCACAGTCGCACATTACATAAGTTTCACAAGCATAAATATTGCAAACTCAGCAGATGACTGGAATTCTATTATGTATTCTGGGGACAATCTGAGGAACACTACTAATATTTCTTAAAGGTTATGAACAGTTCATTCAGTACAGCTTAATGTAACATTCAGAAGAGCTTTATTTATTCATCAAACTTCACTCTTTGAGTAGGAAGCCTTTTGAAATTGCTTCGGTAAATGTAGAGGAAGAAGATTTCCTTCATTTAACAAATATAGCACAGTATGTAAACACTAGAGCCAGTTCATCTCTTAGGATACGTCTACACTTGCACCCTAGTTCGAACTAGGGATGCAAATGTAGGCGACTGAAATTGCTAATGAAGAGGGGATTTAAATATCCCGTGCTTCATTAGCATGATCTTGCTGGCACGTTACTGCGTTCAACAGCTGTTCCAAAAGTGAAAGTGCGCGCTGGAACACGTTAGTGTGAATCAAAGCCCTTGGTTCGAACTAACATTTCTCCTCATTTTTTGCTATTTTCATTTTTTGAGGAGTAATGTTAGTTCGAACCAAGGGCTTTGATTCACACTAACGTGTTCCAGCGCGCACTTTCACTTTTGGAACAGCTGTTGAACGCAGTAACGTGCCAGCAAGATCATGCTAATGAAGCACGGGATATTTAAATCCCCTCTTCATTAGCAATTTCAGTCGCCTACATTTGCATCCCTAGTTCGAACTAGGGTGCAAGTGTAGACGTACCCTTACTGACTATTGTTCCAGTTGAGCACATCGTTGACAATGTAAGAAATTGATGAGCTAAAAAGATAGAGCTATTTTAATATATAATATTGATAACTTTGCAATGTTTTTGTTTTACTATGCAGGAAAATCTCTTAAATTGCTAACTCTGCTTTTCATAAATTGTACTTTTAAAAACATCATTTATTAAATCAATATTAGTTCCTCTTCTATGTTTAATTAAACTTGCAATTGTTCTGCCCTGATCAACTGAATCTAGCAAAGAAAACAGCTTTGATAAAGACACCGTTTTAATAAACAATGCATAATTAATATTACTCTAAGCAAAACATTATTAAAGTTGTTAGAGCTTGAAAAAGCATGCCTGGTAGCAAATTATTTTTAATTCAAAAGAAAAAAGGTCTCTCTAGAGTAATCAGTATACAACTACAATATTAATCTTTGCAGTATGGTGCTATTCTCATTTTTTTCACGGTAAAACCAGTCAACATGGTGCAAACATAGGCCTAATACACCTCAAGAAACAATTTACTGCATCTTGGAAAAAAATCCTTCTTCAAAAAGCTATTTTTCCTCATCTCTTCCTTTTACATATATAAATACTAGCTGGAGTTACCCGGCATTGCTCGGGGTGGACGGTGGGGTCCTGCCAGGGGTGCACTGCGTGGGGGGCAGGCGGGAGGGGACCAGCAGGGGACTTAGGGTGGGCGGGGCAGCCCAGCTCGTGCCCGGGGCTGCAGGTGCCATGGGGGGCAACAACGTGACTGCCCACCCCAAAACTTTCGCCGTGCTACCGGCCGCACCGGAGGCTCCCCTCTCCCGCTGGCCACGCTGAGCAGGTGCCCGGCTCCCTGCCACG